TGAGGGTGGCTGGTAGACCCATGCATTACACAAACATCCAGTAAGCTATCGGGTGGGAAAGACACAACACAGGCACCCATAGTGGTGGCTGTGTCAGTTAGCGAGTAATGGACTCACCACTGAGCTGTTACTCCTCTCCTCCCTTAGCTTTGCAGGTCGCTCCAAAAAAGCAAAAGCGGCAAGCAACCTACCTCGACATTCTCATAACCCAGCGGGACGGAGCGGGCCATCGCTGCCATCTCGCCACCCTCTCGCACACATCCCGCCGTGGTCTCGGCCTCGGTCGCCGTCGCCCGTGCCGTTTGTTTATCCGCGGGCGCCGCCGGCTGTCGCGACAGGCTGACGCCCGACAGGTCATCCCGGCTAGCGCTCTGTCCCAAATCACCCGTTCATCCCGCCGCCTCTCCGCCCGCCCGACAGGCTACTTCGGCGGCCTCTCTGTACTGCCCACGGCCCAGTGGACAGAGCTCAGGCACGATAATCCCTAAACCTGCTTCGAAACCTGTACGGCTTTGATGACAAACCACGGTAGCCGTCACACATTGAGCGAGGCGGATATAATATGACCGGATTCAAACGGCACACGAAGGACGTCAGGATTGGAAGCTTATATGCCACTGAATAATACTGAACGCGTGCCCTTCAATGGTTTGAGTAGTTTTACTGTCAGCATTATCATTGTCATCCCGTCTATGCGTGTCCTCGACTACTCCTCAACGCCACAGAACATTTTAAACGTCCACAACACAACTTCTTAGAACTTCATTGAAAGACGAATGTAAGACTACGACCTCCCACGCCCTCCGTTTCTCTCGTTTCTCAATGACATCAGATGACCCCGTTTGACCTCAGCCTGGTAAGCACGAAATCCGCGCGCCCACGCGGCGCTGTTCCAGTCCCGTGGATGTCGACCGCCTCCGAGCGAGAGACGCGACACAAATCGACTCGCTCGGCCGGCGTCACTGCGGCCATTCAGCCGTCAGTGTACCGGCGCCGACACTCTGTGCTCTGTGCAGCTCTCCGCTCCGGAACAAACGAGCAAAACAGCCTCCTGCAGACGGAACATCGACGGAGAACCGGCCGCTCCGTCACTGAGAGACCGGCCGCTCGGTAACTGCGTGCCGGGTCCATCGGTCACCGACTTGTCGCTCGAGAAGTGAGGTTAGGCGGTGGATGTAGGAAGGCTACGAGTAAACAGGAACAAGAGGAAGGTCAGAACTGAATATAAAAGCGTACTGTAGGTAGTATCGAAACGTGACCCGGTTCACAAAAAGGAATCGAAGCACGACGACTATCGGCATTCCGCATGACATCACGGTTCGGTCACCGGCCAGCCGACTATGGTTGACAGTGGCAGTTAGCTGACCGGCCAGAGCGCGCCTTTCAGTCCTAAGTGGTGAACAGACAGCGCAAACGCCAGTGACACGGCGTTGACACTTCTGACACAGCACTGCCACACCTGACACGGCCCCGGGTCAGTCAGACTGTCAGGCTGTGTCAGCACCGTACCGCCTGCACGGCCCGTGCCGCAGCGTTCCAGCTACTCGCTGGAATGTTGGGCGAGCAGCAACAGCGGCGCTCTGGAGGTCTTGCCGTGCCGAACCGTACCGTGCCACATCGCATGCCGCACCGAGTCTCTTGCGATTTTCAACAGCATTGCACTGCACGTCTGGTCTGGCAGTACGTTCCCGTTTCCCACGCCGTCCCACGGGAACCGACCTGAACAAGAGGCGAACAGGGGAATGTCGGGAGCTGTCGATGAGATTACGAAGACGAAAATGTGGAATAAGACAGGGAACGGAAGCCACGACGGAAGAGCGAGACGAGGAGAAGTGCATGAGTCGCTAGTCGTGGAGAAAAAGTAGTCATCTGCCACCGTTTGTAATCAGTAGCTTATCCGGTGAGCGTTACATCAAGTATCAGCACGAAGAATCGCCTCGTGATGCGTTAACACGCCAACCATCTGCTGTGAGCCCCAGTGGCTTTCACTCAATCAAGCCCGCACCGTGCGACGCTCGGCACGCCGACAAAGCGGCCCAGCACACATCGCACCCGCGTGAACTGCGGGCATAACCTCCAGCAGCTCCAGCACCTCTAGCACCCTCTCCGTAACAGCAGTAACCCAGCACGAGGCACGTGCCGACGGACCAGTAGCCGGCTTAATTGGCGTCCGACCCGCAGCCGCGGTAATTAGGTGGCATAATCGGGCTGCTGCCTTGTTCTCTGGTGCGCCAGGCGACTTAAGCCTGTTGTGAGCGTGAAACCGATGCTGAGAGAAGTGGTTTAGAACTGTTGAGAAGGTGGATTGTAGCGGGAGGATTTGAAGCTGCTGTAAAAGAGGGAGAGATGGGGAAAGAGAGGAGGGCTGGAGAAGGAGATTGAGAGGGAGAATACAGAGGACAGGAGAGAGAGTGAGAGAGAGAGAGGGAGAGAGAGAGAGCGAAGGAGGGAAGAAGGGAGAGAGGGAGCGAAGGGAGTGAGAGGGGGAATAAGTTGATATAATTGCACGGTTTTAGAGACCGGGTCGGAGCGGCGTCGGAGCGGTGTCGGTATCACTCGATGCTCTTTGTAGCGCCGCTGCAGACATCCCACATCGTGCGGTGTGAATGTAGTACAATGGAGCCGCCGTCCGGGCCACTTAGGTCGGGTCGGTCTCGCGGTCGGCCGCATTAGGGCCACGGAGGCGCCGGAGATGGGCGATTTGACAGCTTAGCAGGAAGGGTGAGGCGATGCCACTTCAACCAGCGGCCTGCAAATGTGTTGCCTCGTACGATGTGCAGAAAACAAGAATTCGGCACTTAGCGCCCGGCGGGGGAGCGTAGTGTTTTGACGGTGCTGACAGCTAGCACGAGCATCAACAGCGCACCGCGGGAGGTGTTATCCGCATACCGCCAGAGAGCCGGTTAGTGATTGTTTTTCCCCGGCCGGCGAGGCCGGTTCTGAACAGAAGCCGAGCCGGCTGAGCATAAATTGACAGCACCTCAAGACGACACCATCCGTCAGTCACACTCACGCGTCAGGAAGCACAGGCACAACACGCTCAGCCGAGCGGGCGGCAGTAGAGGAACACCAGCGCCGCACGGCTGCACCGGTCAGGCTTCCGGCGGTGGCTCGTTATGAGCGCCGCTTGTCATCAAAGCCGGCTGCCGGCCGGCCGCCGTGCCGGCACTAATCGCCGTCATTTTCAACCACTCAGACACAGGAACGGTGTCGGCGCGGGCCTGTTGTCGGCACAATAGCGGCCGAGAGTGGTGCGCCCTGCCCACCGCTGTCGGCACCGACTCGGCACACACTGAAAGCCGCGCCCCGTGGGCCGTGCTGAAGAAACGGCGCCGGCGGCCGGGATGGTCAATAGCAGCGGTGAAATGATTGACCCTCGTTGAGCCGGGCAATTGATGTAAGAACGCCAAAGTGCCGCCTCGAACGCGCCTCATGGGAAGAGTTATGATACCATCGACGGCCCGAGGCGAGCGGTAATGTCAGGTGACTGAGGCCGGTCGGATGGGTCCCGACGGGTCTGCCACGGTTCAGCCGGTGTCCGGGGTGTGCTGACAGTGACACTGATGCCATCTGACAGCCGGAGGCCGCCTGAGGCACCCTGCAGGCCCGCCGCCGACACCCCGTGCCACGGCGAGACATGCAGACCAGTTCCTGGAAGGCTCGAGCGGGCCAGTTGCCGGAACTGTTCAGCAGCTGTCATAACTGCAGCTAACTGCAGCCACACGATGACTCTCTCGCGGGTCTTGTCACTTCACGGGTGACTTCAAAAGGCAAACTATGTAGCTGAAATAGCAGACCAAGTGTTTCGTTTTTCAGTGCACATAGGTATACCGTTCAAACGCACTCGCTCTTTCAGTCTCATTCTTTCTATCTATGCATCCCTTTGCACAGTTTTTGATGTTATCTCATTTGATAATCGCATGCATTTCAGCGATTCCTTCAGTCGTACCGCGTCCCTATGCGGAAGCGGGGTCCGTCAACGAGACAGCATCGACGTGCGGTGACGGTCGGGGGCGACGGTACGGGCCGGCGACGGGCGACGGGCGGGAGGTTTGTTTGTTTTGACCGCCGCAGGTGCACGCCCGAGCTTTTCAGGCACGCCAGGCAGCGCGGGTCGCGCCGACGGCTCCTTTGGAGGCCCGTCAGCGGCCACCTCTCCATCCGACACTAATAGAGAGCCCACCGGCGCGCCACGGAGGCACGGAGCGTTCGTTCACACTCCGAAGTACGTTTCGCTTGGACGGACACCCCACAGCTGTGAAGGAATGTGTCACGCTACGTTAGAATCCGCGACCGTGAAAAACTCGGCGGGCTTTCTTCGCCTCGGTTTTTCACCATTCTATCAGGAGCCCCATGTGGTCTGTCGTTACAAACATATTGGGGCGAGGAAGCTGTCGTCTATTGAAGCTAATCGCAAGTACAATTGAATATTAACGAGCATCATGTTTATGAGTTTCCTATCAGGGAAGATGGATCATTCTGGTGATCGGAAACTCCTCCAATTTACAATGGCATCAACTTTCTCCCAGAACGCCTGAGCTACCCGAAGTTAATTAACTACTAGTCCCAATGACCAGCGATTGTTCCGTTTTGCCCGGCTGCACTCATGGATTTGCCAGTGATGGGTGACCATGTAAACAGCGTCTTGACAGCTACCGCACCATTGTGTTTGGCAGCAATGTTCCGTGATCTGAAGCGCTGGACGGTAGCGAGCATTCACCTTCTGCTGCAGTAGAGTTTTACTTGCAAATTAGTCATCCATTTTTCCGACGCAGCGTTTAGCACATAATTTTGCATGCAAATCCATAGCTGTACTCTATGCTGCATCTCGCTCTCACATCTTTACTTTCGCTTTGTCGGCGAGAAGTACCTAAATCAATCAAAAATTTGCTATTTATCAACTTCATCTGTGCAAACTGCAAGCGCAGTTCACGACGCAGCGCTATAAATAACGCGTGTAATGAATACTACAAGCCCGTGATTAGTTTGGGGTCACTCACCGATAGTTTGCCCTGGGGCGACGGGTCGGTGTCGAGGGCACCTCCGATCCAGGCTCCGTCCTTCCTATCCTGGTAGAGGAACGGCGGCTGGCCCTGGCGACGGGTGTCGTCTGGAGACAGAGAGGCCACACAGGTCAGAGAGGGTCAAAGAGGTCAGTACATAACTAACATAAGCTTTACTGGTACAGGAACGGCGGCTGGCCCTGGCGACGGGTGTCGTCTGGGGACAGAGAAGGGTCACATAAGGTCACATACACTGTCCTGGTAGAGGAACGGAGGCTGACCCTGGCAGCGAGCGGCGACTGGGGACAGAGCGGTCACACAGGTCACATAAGGTCACACAAGGTGACATAAGGTCACACTGGGTCACACAGGGTCAGTCAGGGTCTCAAAGTCACATAAGATCACATACACTGTCCTGGTAGAGGAACGGAGGCTGGACCTGGCAGCGAGCGGCGGCTGGGGACAGAGCGATCACACAGAGTCACACTGGGTCACACGAGGTCAACAGAGTCTAAAAAGGTCGCACAGGGTTCCACTCTGGTCCAGTCACGGTCACATGATTGGCCATGAGCCACCCCGTGTTGATCGTCGTGTTTATTGATCAACACTGCCATCATATATAAAACCGACACAGCTCACGGATTTCCATTTACGGTAGAGTGTAGACTGTAGAATCATCGCAAAACAGTATCTTGTGAATTGTGATCTATGAGCCACACGTTAGTTCCACCAACCCATTCCGCTGACGGTTTAATAGACCGTGCTAGGTCGTTCCGCGTTCGCCCATTCGCTTCGCCTCCCCGCCCGGTAGTTCAGCATGGCTTTATTACGTTAACACGGTAACACGAAGCGTCAAAAGTGACGCGCACCACGGACTGTGTTACAGATCCCTTTGATACCGAGGCCGACACATGACGTCTGACCGTGAAATTTGATTGACAGTAACGAACCACGCGATGGGTGATCGATCCATTTTAATTTTGAAGTAACAGTGGGTATATCCGTAACTGAGGGCACGCAACGCGGTCATTATTAACCACGAGACAGTAATGGAACTGATATTAGCACTGAACAAAACACACATCACACCCAAGGCGAAGCCAGTCAATAGGAGAGTGCGGGCATGCAAGTCACAAAGCAGGACATGCCCTTAAAGAAAACGTGATAACAACGGGAACAGAAAACGATAGCTCATCCACTAGCTCTCGCGCTTTATAACCCGTTTCTAAAGGCGCTCGCCCTCGCTCAGGCCAGAACGACCTGCCGGCACACACAGTGGCCTCGTCCCGCACTGTCTGACGGCATCATGTAACGAGGGGACAGGGCACCACACGCGAGGCTGTCAATAACCCGGACCATCCACATCTGACATCGAGTCGTGGCAGCATGGTCAGACTATCGTGCCGGTCCACAGCCAGTGGCGACGTGTGGTTAACTGATTGACTGGCGATGGCGCCGGTGGATGGAGGATGGTGGGGGTGATCGGTCCACACAGCCCGACACGAGACCCATGGCGCAGTCGGGCCTTGAGCGCAGTCCAGTGGTAAAACATGAGCATTGAACAATGGGGGTCTGGTTACGTCCATGGGAATCCCAAAAGCAGAGCATGCAGGAAATGTAAAGCGCCGAGATACGGCACAAAGCACGGAAGCCACGGCACGCCACAACAGGCAAGGCACGGTGAGGCACAACAGTGCACAGTTGCTCAGAGGTGTCGAGTCTAGCGCTACAAAGAAATCCCCGCCACAAAACAACCTGGCTGGGCCATTCCAGTCGGCACCCGTTTGTTCCAGAACCAAGAGCGATGTTTGGAATGGTAAGTGAGCTACGAGGAAGAGGTGGGCACCACAGCAGACGTGCCTTCTCCAGACGTTTCAACAGTAAGCTGCTAATTGACCTTACTCTGCATTTGCATGTGCAACAAGGAGCTCTAATTACGCCGCGAATCGCTGCACTCATGTTGTAAACCACGATTTCCCCTTGTTGTGTTTTGCGCCAGTGAATCAACCCTGGACTCCGCGAAAAATGGTCTAGTTAGTTGGATTAGCTGTCTGTGAGTGGGTGTTGCGAACCGTGAGTCCGTGCAGGGCAGTGCCCGGTCACACACTCTGGCGTGACTCGGCCAGAAAGATTTCCCGCCCCGAGTGCGTGACACAAAGGGGTATTTCGGCGAAGGACGACGGGCGCCTGTACGAAGTGTGATTTAGCATCGTGAGTTCGTGTCTTACTGCGCACGGTACATCCATACATGGAGCCTGTTTGGGTCCTGTTGGCCTCGTTTTGACAGGTTTACGTACTAAACTATGCAAAAGGCATGTTACTTGAAGCCTGGCGGTATTCATGCATACAAGCCACATTTGTTACTATGTATTGCTGGGTCAGTGCTTTATATCGACTCGATCAAAAAAAGCTCACAGGTCAACATTCTTAGCGCATTACTCGGCCAGGTGGCACGAGCCCATCGGGCGTCTCACCGGCCGAGTTTGGACAGCGGAAGGGATCGGTCTTAACGAGAAGCGGATGTCCCGTGGAATTTGCAGACGGCAGGCGGCACCGAACCGCGTCGCCGCAGCACGCCAGGCGGCACCGGGGTGCAAACAAAGGGCACACCGAGCCGCCGCGCCGCCGCCCCGCTCCGCCCGTGACGGGATACCACAGACGGAGCGGCTGGGAGCGCCGCGAACCTCCGCTCCGATAGGTTCGCATACCGGTTACCCGGACAGCTGGATGTGAATTACGGCTGTATAAAGCACGACTGTGGCTCGGTGCCGACCGGCGCGGCGGCGCGGTATCACTGCGCGCCCCGCCCCGGCCCGCCGATCGCGGCACGAGTGACGGACCGAATGTGGCCACGCACAGGGCGGTTAGCCGCTGTCCGGCCCCGTAATGGGCGGCTCAAACAGTCCGACACAGTGGGCGGGGCGGCCGGTCCGCTCAGCCGCGCCGCACAGAGTTATGGCAGCTCGTTTTACAGCTCGTCGCCAGCTGATGGCCGGTAACCATGACAGTTTTGCAGACCAATTGCCCTTTACGACATCTAAATTGTTCGACTATTACTTCACTGGTCTCCATTGACTGGCTTTGATGACACGTTACGCATGAATTATTGTAATATAAATCAGTGGTACTCAATATAACTTATAAGAGCACACGAAAAACCTATATTGAACTGCACAACGTCAGAAACACTTCAATCGAATCGTTTCCCGTTTGTCGATTCGGTTTCAGTTTGCTTGTCGAATGCGAATTGGTTCGTCATCCAAATCCGGCATTTCGTCACTGACAGACACACCTCTCGTCCAAACATGGACTGAAGGCGCACCTCCACTACCGACCAGTCATCACAGAGCCACTGCCATTGGTGACCATTTGACCGACAGCGCCCACCAGCGACTCCCACCGACCGGCAGTCCGGTCCGTGCAGTCCACATGGGGCCAGTGACCGATGCTACACCGCCCGAATAATTGCCGAGAACCGAGACTTTACCGGTTCCGATCCCACCACCGCCGCGGCCGCCATCGTCCATGGCACCGGTCTCGTGCACCGGGCGCGTTCCTCGCAGCTGAGCAAAACACGGGCCTGCCACCTCCACACCGGGCTCGCAGCACACGGCGCTCAATTAGCGCACAAAAACGCGCACAAAACGCACACGAGACCGCACCACAAACAAGAGAGCGTTCAGCGTCTTTAGAAATACCTTCACGGGCGTCTCCCTGCCGACAATGGAGGAAGCTTTTACCGTCACAGGCACCATTAACGAGCCGGTACGGTAAGATTCGATGAGGCAGGGGATTCTCCGGAAGGGTCAGGGGCTGAATCACCAAGTGCGCGGCAATAATACTTAACAGCCTGATAAAAAGGAGAAATAATCTGAAAAAGGAACGTAAAACTAAAAGGATCATATAACCTGTTGAGTGTTGAAGCATGCAACACAATACCACTTTCAGGGAGAAGCTCATTAACTTTTAAAAGTTATCGCAGTAATTCTTCTCTCGCACTTCAATCTTATTGGCTTGGCTTTGAGAGCCTCCCTAAGCTCGCATGCTGGAAGGAGACAGGTCGAGGTGGTCATCGGGCTGCCAAATGCCAAATGTATGGTTTTATGTGGTCCTGCCCAGAAGAGTAGGCTCAAGGGTCCACAAAACAGTAACCCATAGACGAGAGGGTCATAAATATACGATTGATGGCACAAAACAAATGATGGGATACTCCTGAGAATAGCGTGAGCCTTACTAACTTAAAATGTTACTTAAATCTGACAGATATGTGATTTTCTATCAGGTAGTCGTAGCAAGACACACTTGAGAGAGATCGCCTTTCAATTCACGGCTGGGTCACTGTTTAGATGCCCCAATAGCCAATTTTGAGACCGATGCGAGATAGGCCGTATTTCGCGATAGTATCGCTCGTGGCCGGATAAAATCGGTGGGTGGAGACGCTCGTGTTCCGTTCTGCTCTCCAGAAGGCCGACCCTGCCGGCTGATTTACAGACCTGGATAACTATTGTGCAACTGGAAACTCCAGAGGTTAGAGTTCATATGATGCTCCCTCCCTATGCCCAGAACTAGATAAGGGGGAGAATGGGATGTTTGTGTACCCTCTAGAAGATTGGGGTCAAACTCTTCCTATCGCGCTCTATATTGCTCACTGTTCCTCATATTTCGTGATCTAAAAGATGGACGTTACACATTAAAACTTACGTCCTAAAATGTTTAACATTTGACGTTAACAAAATTAAGTCAGGCACGTCCCACGTTGCATTCAAGACACTAGTTTATGGTGTTACAAAAGTGACTCACTGTTCAATGTTCATAGCGCTCACTGATCTCGTTGCAATGTCTTAGATTTTGCCTCCGTATCTGGGCGGGCTAATGGATCGGTCACGCTTGAGTTCAACATCTGCACGACTGTTCCCGTCAAATCCCACTACTCCTTTTAGCATCCCACGTGTCCCGTGGTCTGAGTCCCACACCTGCCGTGCTCCAGTCCATTCCGTCCCTCCCCAACCCAGTCACGGTCGGTTCCACTCTATTTTTCACGGATGGCGACACCCAGTGGAGCGCGGCACAGGAGGGACAGGTCCGCCGCCCACCACCGACCCGTCCACGTCTCACGTCACCGTCCGACACGCACCCCGGGCGGTCAGCGCACGTCGCGGCCGGCCGCGCCGCGCTCCGCTTCCGCACGCACACAGCCGCGCGTGGCCACACACAGACAGAAACGGCCGCACAGCACGCATAATGGCCGCGCCACGGCCGCGCAACACTGCACAGGAGAGGCATGACACCCCTCCATCACATATACTCACACAGCATACGGTAATTTCCAACCTGCCCCCAGCGCAAACACAATCACAGAGTTTCATGATGCACATCGAATGACCACGAAACTACCACAAGCCATGACCGATCCTCACAGATCACACTGCACAACCACATCACACCACTGAGGTCTGTCTCAATTACCCACCTGCTGTGTCCAGGACCACCTCTCTGCAGCCGGGCTGGCTCAGAGTACCGCACTTGAACAGCGCTCCGGTCTTCGGCACGTCGTGTATTCCTAGGGTGGACGTCGCGCGCGGCGCCCCGACCAGCACCCTGCGAAACACACAGCCGGGTGTTAGACGACGGAGCGACAAAAACCCAGCCATCAACACGACATTCATCAGCGGGACAAAGAGAGGGACGGAGAGAGAGCCGTCCTGTGGCGACTGAGCAGCGCCGGCAGGTGCTGGAAAAGGCTAACCAAGCGCAGTGGATATACAATGCGGGAGAGAGGTAACAAAGACATCACTGCAGGAACAAAGAACAGCGATATGAACATAATCACCTGATGAACGGATCGCACGAGCGTGAGAATCGTCAATCATCCACACGAACCTCTGGCTTTTTCCGGAAGCGCGCTGCAAAAACTCCGGTATTGTGCGCGACCGGCCAGCGCGGCAGCCGAGCGCGAGAGAACCAGTCGGATGACGTCACCCGGGACAGCTGCATTCCCGACCGGTGACGTCATCCGCAGACACGGCCAGCACGCTGTCCTCGCGGCCGCGACATGGAGATGAGGCTCACTGCCTTATATGGTCACGGCGGTGACGCGATCTTGATTCCGTGCCGCACGGGACGTGTCAAAGAGTCGGCACAGGAGAGAGACACGGCAAGTAGAGACAGAGGGAACTGGAGACTGGAGAGCCGTCCCCTCAACGAGAACCAATTCAAGAGCCTGACATTGATTTTACAAACAATGAGCTGAGCTCGACACTCCGCTAGAGACCGTGGTGATAAGAAACGCCCTGCTGCACATTGCACAAACGGCGGGCTGCGGGCTGCACGGCCACGGCGTCATGAACTCTGGCACCCAATGACGTCATAGGTCAGAGGTCGGACTAGGTTTGGGAGCCCCACCTCCCGGAACATCTCGGCGACCAACTTTAAACCTTTAGAGTCTGGAGGAAGACAGAATCCGACCGCGTCCTGCACCGTTTTCCACATACCGTAACGTCTCATTCGACTCAGCATCCACTTCAGTTCGACTTCGGACCCCTGTTGCTCGTCTACCCTCGTCTACCCTTCGAACCCCTCGCGAAGAAGTCTGGAGACGGAGGCCGGTGGAGCAGCCGAGAGTTGACAGCAGCTGGGCGTCACAAGAGAAATAGTTAAAAGACCCCCAATTAGTGCTGCCCCGCGCACCGCTGCAGCTGCAGACAGTGTGCGGTAGGTTCGGAGCTGCGTCAGCAGAGAGCGGTACGACAGTTGTGGATGTGAGCGGCAAAACGCGCCACTGACATTCCGCCACACATTTCGCGAAGACGTCAGCTACAGTCGCGTTATGACAAGGACACTGAAAAATGTGCCCTGCTCCTGTTTCAGACAATGCCTGCCGATGCGTTCCCACGGAGCCACAATACCGCCCTAGGTGTCAGTGTCCTGACACAATGGCGGACCAGGCGAACTTCGCCGGACAATGGCAGCGCCAAAGTGCGGAGTGGAATCTCCAATCAACGCCTCGCCGGATAGACAGACGAGTGTGGGTGATATTTCAGACGCCAGGGCGGGTTCGATTTCTGGGCCGCGTCTGAGGGGAGGACACGGGCTGTGGCGTGACGTGACGGCGTAACGGGACGGGAGGAGACGGCTGGAGTCGGCGCGCCACTCCCTGGAGAGTCGCGTGCCACTCCCACTCCGGTCGCGTGCCACTCCCACGGGAGGGAGCCGCGCGCCGCCGCCGCCAGAATGCGGTCACATGTCGCGGCTCCAGCGACGCCGTTTTCCCTAGCGTGACCGTCCGTCCATGGAGGAGACGGGCCCGAGAGAAACGTGCACTGCAGATGTGCTGTCCCCGTCTCCTCTGCCTGCAGAACTCCAGGGACTAGGGTGCGGCGGGCACTTGTCGTCACGAGCGCAAGTCCAAACGAGCGCGACAACATTCAACTGCAGAAGAACAAATATCCAGCCGAGTATTGACTGAGTAAACCTCGAAGATAAGCCATTCACTTGTCGCGTCGTAACTACACAATTAGATCAGCAGACCGAAGGTGCTGTGTTTCATCAGATAGCAACTGCTCCAGGCTAACTCGAGTTGAGCTGGAATGGATAATTAAAACCCCACCGATGGACGGTTTACGATGATTTTATTAATGGATGCAAAATTAGATGACTACTGAACAGCAGCTGGAAGTCTACGTTACAACTGATGTGCGATCACACGACAGAGGTGCTCTCACGTCGGACGGTATTCCTCTGGACTTGTAGACAGCGGGACACCACGATACTTTCCATTTCAATAGGAAACTCAATGCGGAACAGTTCGTCTGAAGGTGAGTGATTCACAGCACGGGCCCATCGATTCCCGAACGGGCGTGCGTGTCATGTTTTAATAACTTACAGCTGGCCTTCCATGTTAAACACACGTCAGACTCAGAGGGGGCCACGGCGGTCGGATGGGGCAGCCTCAAAACAGGATCACACCTATCAGTTTCCAGTGCATCAAAACACCTGCAACGGCTAACTTAGAGCAGGCCGTGGCCCTACACTGCGCTCTCCATCGAAGGTCAATCTGGCTCAAAATCACTTCTCATTCGCCTGACGAGGGCGGGCACTTGGACTTCGCCTCTAGAAGCTCTCTAAAATCAGTTGTGGCACTTCCCTGTCCCAAACCCTTCCCCACCCATTATTGAATGCACGACTGGAGACGTGATGGGGACGTGCAATAGACGACCCAGAGACATGCCAGAGACAAGGACCGTTGGCGCCCCCTCGTCTCGGCGGCCGCACACAGCCACACCCATCAGGGTCAATAGGTCGAGATGACGCCACAAACGAATAACGGATGAGCGCAATCAGCCGGGCGGGTCTGGGGCCGGCAAACACAACAGTCTGATCAGCGCAGTCACACGTTATACAGCCGGGCCGGGCAGAGGATGGGAGCAGAAAATGCCTGCAGAGCCGCCACAAACGGGAAGCGGATCTCACCCAGCCCAGCGCGGCGACGACCCTGCCAGTCAACAGTCCCACCCAGGCATCTCAGCGTGGCATTCGCTTCCGCTGAAAACTACTCTTGTGAAAAGTGTGAAAAAAAATGAAGTATTGCAGGTTAATATGAATGGTGTCACGAGCAAAAATACGAGTATGCTTTGTTTCGTGATGAGGAGAAAATCATGTTCAGCAAAAAAAAATGCTTAAACATGAAACGTTAGTAGCGCCGCATATTTACGTCTGGACAACGAGTTGCGTTGGAGAGGCCGGAAATAGTGACGATTTCAGGACCGCAAGAATGGACCGTCATTGGAATGATTCTTTTTTAAACCGTGCACTGTTTTCAGCCGGAATTTAATAGTTAATACAAAATATTTTGTAATTACGTTTTCACTAAGAATGAATGCCATCAGGGCTAAATTTTTACTACTATTGCATTTTGTCAAGAAGCATATAGTGCTGTTATATTGCAGTTTTAGCGCGTTTGTTACAAAATATGAAGCTTATTGCTCTTGTCCATCCACTAAGATTTTGCTTTGTGTATTCCAAAAGAGAGAGAACTATTTCATTTGTGCCTTCATGTCAGAATTGAAGATGGATCATTAAATTTTCAACGCAGTTTACAAACAAGCATTTGGTCTTTCTCGTTTATAAGCAGTGCAGTGGCTAAGAAAAGGTTGATAAATCCTGAAGTTTAGTCATCGTACCTCAACTTGGCAGCAAGATCCCCAAAGGACAGAGGATATATTGTATACATGTCCTGTAAATCAAAACAAACAAGCATTTGGTCTTTCTCGTATATAAGCAGTGGCTAAGAAAAGGTTGATCAATCCTGAAGTTCAGTCATCGTACCTCAACTTGGCAGCAAGATCCCCCAAAGACAGAGGATATATTGTATACCTGTCCTGTTAATCAAAACATTTTTGTGCCTGCAAAGGCTTAAGTTATCTGTGGTGTGTTCGGAGTTAGGCTATATGGCCGTTTTTGTTGTATGTTTATGTGGAGATTGAATATAACTGTGACCCTGTGCTTGTTTGTATACTTACAGTCAAACAGGGAACAGCACATTCACATAACATACTCACCTAGCACCTAACTCATAGCTGTACCCTGCAGGATCTGTACTTGTTCATGTCTCGAGCATTAACAAAGCACTAAAGTTGCTTAGTAATCATTTCCCACATTTTCTGAGCATCGAACATGACATACAGCAGTGCAGACGCAGAGCAGCTTCAGAGAAGAAACACTTTAAATGCACAGACTCACACCAGCCACCCAATGAGCCAGTTCCTCAGTTGACTGTTTCCCTGGATGCAGCTTGGCAATGTGAGCTAACTTTTGGCAAGTTGAAGGTTAGCAGGTAAGATTGAGTTAGGGTGAGTACCTACCTATAACTGAGTGCTACTGCCATGCAGGTCTTGAGTAGGCTGCGGCATGCAAATATGTGTGATCAGGGGCGCGGGAACTACTTTCCGACTGGGGGGGGGGGGGGCACACCATAATAGAGATCAACCTAGGGTACCCCCAAATCTAGTTTTCTCACCGGTTTTAGGCCACTTGTTTTTCATCCCTCGGCTTTTTCAACAAAAAAGAAAACATTTGCAAAAAAAGTGTGGTATTCCGTCTCAAAGCTGTGGGGGCACCGCCCCCACGGCCCCAGAGTTGGGGGGGCAAGCTGCCCCCACTGCCCCCCCCCCCGGCTCCCGCGCCTATGTGTGTGATGATTGAGGTTAGGTCAGCTGTCAGGCTAGTCAGGTATGCTCATTGCTCAGGTCACATTTTATATGGACACTTGGCAAATTAAAAAACTAACAATCTAATCTACGCTAACCCGACTAAACACACACAACTACTGACTATAGGAACTGAGCACCTACCTACTTGTGCCTACATCTCATACCATGTCAAAGTAGAGTTCCTTGGTGGAAGATTACCCTCAGTACTTTTTATCCCAGCCCTGTGAAGAAAACTAATACTTCTAAGCTCTGAGTCACTGCTGGCCATCCACAGGAAGAAACGCTGAGACTGAGAGCTTTGCCATTGTATATTGGACCCATAATCACTATCACGAATGACTATGAACACATTATATGATCACATTGTTGCATGGATTGTCACATTGACAA